ATGAAACAAAAATGGGACTACATCGGCCAGTGTTGCTGTGCGCCACGGCGTAGCCGTGGCGGGGTCCACTTGTATATATAAAATAAAAACCTCATGGTGGCTATCTTAGTATTTTTGCATTCCCAAGGTGTGCCCAAAGCCAGCCTTATCTTTGAATCTGGTGGTCTCATCTGAGGGGGTCTGAAGGGTGCAAACGGGGTTAAAAGGGGTTTGAAGGGCCTGAAAGGGTGTTGCCATAATGTAATTTTCTAATTTCAATGTTTTATAACTTTTATTTTTCAATTTAATGAGGAATTTTGAAGTGAACCTCAGTCAAAAGTTGTTTGATTTGCAATACTGCACGACATAGTTCTTTTGGCAGATTTTTTTTTCTTACTTCTCTTTTTTATTTTGTGCAGTGGCTGCCCAGGACCTTGTCTGGGACCTTGCCTGGACGTGGCCCAGCCGGGCCACCTCGGCAGCCTGAGGCACCCCACGCAGCCTGGCAGGTAGCCCAGTGTCCGAACCCCCCCGCAAGGGTCCAAAAGACAAAAATACCACAGGAATGACGTGACCCAGTCGAATGCTTGTTTGGCGACAAACCTTAGGCAAACCATGGCAAGGTGGCAGTCTTCAGGACTGCAGAGACAGTGCAGTTTCTGTGCAGTCGTAACCAGCTTGGCATATTTCTCACATGCCGATGAGCACTGGCCTTCTGCGGCATCCAGCCGTGCGTCCCAATCCTGGAGACAACACACATTCAAAGCACAGAATACGGGTAGTTGCCCTGACACTGTCAATCATGTTCTTTCTGTCGAATGTGAGCAACTTAGCATAGACGATACAGAGAAGATTAGCATGGCCCCTGCACAAAAAGAGAGCATAGCAACGGACCTTGTCAGCAGCCTACACTTTCTACTACAGCAACAAGGGTCACTGCTTGCAAGGTACAGAAAGAGCTGAGCATGCTGATCAACTGCGAGCATGCAAAGGTAAGGGGCAATCCACAAGTGTGAGCGTGCAAAGGTAAGGGTCAATCCACGAGTGTGAGCGTGTGAAGGTAAGGGGCAATCCACGAGTGGCCACGAATCACTCCGTTGAAGGAGCCAACACTCTTCTGAATGTCCACACACGAGTGTGTGTTGTAAACGGTCACGACAACTACCCGTTTTCCACCCAGATGTGCAGATCTAGAATTGAAACAGCTTTACCTCTATACCAAACAACATGAAGCACACTCAGATGAGCAGAGGCGCAATTGAAACAGCTCTACCTCTATGGCAGACAACACACTTGTAACAGTCGTTCCTTCGCTTTCCTTACGTGGGCTTTTTGGGAATTTTCTCTTTCATTTCTTCTTGCAGCTCCCCTCTTTCTGTGCCTCTCACACACAAGCTCGCCATGTTGATTGTGGTTGAGCACGAGCTGTCCACATCCCGTGTGCCATAACGGCCCACTTGCACACTATGAAAGGGGGAGGTATACTCCTGTTCATTTTTCAGTACACCTGCAGCTTATACTTTGTCTGTTCTCTTAAATCACCAGTACTTTTCCCAGACATTTTCTGTGACTCGGCCGTGTGCGTGCTGCGTCTGGCGGGATGTATTGGCCTGGCTGTTCGCAAAAAGCACATCCAGGCAAAACGGGCGTGCACGTGACATGTTTGCCTGGATGTTTTTTGTCGCAAACTGGCAGGCTGGTACATCCTGCCAGACACAGCACGGGCACTGCCGCATTGTAGAAAAACGCCTGGGAAAAGTACTGATGGTTTAATGATACTTGCAATCAGACTCGACTTCAGACTCACTTCCCACATGCATACACGAGAACTGATGGCAAAACCAAACTCGTCAACGCAGAATCAACAACGATCTTGCACTTAAACTCTGTCCCATACAACTGTACAACTTGCGGCTATGGCCGCTGAACACCGTCTCAACCACCAGCCTCACTCTCCCTCATGCACGCACGTACGAGGATCACCCTGAATGTCCACGCTACACAGTCACACACACTTTGTACACTCTGCCTATATCAGCAGCTGGGCGGCTATGGCCGCCGGTGTCTTCCTCACTGGCCAGCTATGGCCGCTGTCTTCCTCACTGCCCACTTCCTCTCCGGGCACCTGCAGACCTCCACGCACAAGATACCAAGGCAGCTCTTCCGCATGGCTCACAGGCGAATGAATGAATGGCCGGATGCTGCCTCTTTATTTATACCTCTTCGGCGGTACCCGGGCCTGCCTCAAAACGTGTGGGCCTGGGCCAGAACGAATGGCCCAGGGAAGTTTCCAGATGTTTGGCCTTCTGGGCCAAAACGCGTGGAACCCACCACGTGGTCCAGAACCTTCCCCACGTGCAGCCCCTACCCCTGGTACTTGCTGACAGGACTAGCCTACAGGGACCTACGACCTTCTAGAGCCTACAGACTTACAGACAGACTCTAGGCCTCAGTAGACTCAGATAGAGACTTCTAGAACAGACCTTCCTAAGCCTATCGGTAACAAACCTAACTCCTAATCTACAGACCTAGGGATCGAGTCCTCCTATCCGACCTACAGACTAGCCTAGGGGGTAGTAAAGGTCGCGGGATCAAATCTCACACAGATCACTGGATCTATGTACAGGGTACAGGGTAGGTCTAGGGATCGAATCTCACTCATGTTACATGCACAGATAGATGATGTTTGTAATAACCGAGGAACTGCAATGTGACGAAAAGGACTGAAATGGACAATGCGGTGAGAGTAGAATCTCGACAGACAATGTGCATTCTCATACATACAAAAGTGCTGAATAGCGCAGGGAAGACTTAGATACAAAGACTGACCTGACAAGGACTGACCTTACACACGTAGTAGCAAGTAGCRAAACAGACTGCTAGAATGTTGATAACTAGTCCAACCGATGGTTGAACTCAGACCAAACATGCATCGTACCCCTCACCAGGTGTGAAGGAGCCTGGCGCTGCACACAGGAAGAAAGCGCCAGGTCCAGACATGCATAGATGAAGAGGTAAGGATCAGACGAAAGGAGGGAGGAAGATGGGAGTGTCGTTAACACMAAGTCTTTGTCACCGATCCCAAATAACCCCTCGTTGCCATGTCTGAATCCCAAAAAGTCGAGTCTTGGATCCGATATCACCAAGCTCGGTATCTCTTCTCTCGCAGTCTGCAAATGCAGTGAAGTCAAGGGTTGAGAGGGAGAGAAGGAGATGGTGGACTGAGAAGAAGAGGAAGAAAAACTCTCTCTCTCTCTCACTGTTACGAACCAGATATTAACCTGTGATATTGGCGCTGTGCTGCAGGTACCTTGAAGACGAAGCTGGAGCAACGGCGCTGCAGGTAGGTACCCCTGGCCTCCGCCCAAGCTCTCTCTCTCTCTCTACCACTATCCTAGCTATGGCGCCCAGCGCCGAAGGCTACTAGCTAACGCTACCACTACTATAACGCAGCGCTCCCTCCAGAGGGCTGCTCCCGAATCCTGAAGACTACAACTGCCGACTGCCTCCCTCTTGTAGGGCGGGCCAGTCCTTTATAGTGCTGGCCCGTGCAGGAGGCTGGTCGTGCCAATGCCCTATGCGCAGGAGGCCACTCTTGCCAATGCCTCCCTGGCCTAGACCCTGCGGAAGCTTCCAGGCAAGAGCAAGAGCCTGGAAGTTTCCCTGTAGGGAAACAGGCTGGGGCCTGTAGGCCCTGTCAGAAGGAAGCTTCCAGGCAAGAGCCTGGAAGTTTCCCTGTAGGGAAACAGGCTGNGTAGGCCCTGTCAGAAGGAAGCTTCCAGGCAAGAGCCTGGAAGTTTCCCTGTAGGGAAACAGGCTGGAGCCTGTAGGTCCTTTCTCGGGCTGTCAGGCTGAACCGTCGGCGGGGCCTGTAAGCCTTGGATATCAGGCTTAAAGCCCGAAATTCAGGTTTTTGGCCTGAACGACGTCGGGCCTGCAAAATGGCCCGTGTGTGCATGTGCAGCATGTAACACTCAGCACACAGGTTCAATGTACAGGGCTCGGGCACAGGTCTAGGGATCGAATCTCTGTGTCTGCAGATGTCTGGTCAACTGGGTGAAACCGTTTCATACTCGTTCATATGAATCTAGTAGTGCTAGACAGGGGGAGGGAAGAAAGGGGGAGGGGGACGAGTTCTACACGAGGGGAGGGAGGAGGGAGAAGGGGAAGGCAAGGAAATGGAGGGACAAGGAATAGAACAGAGGAAAAACAAACTTCACAGGGTTCTGAGGACTCACCGCCAGAGCAGACTACTATGGAATGGCGCAAGACGCCAGTCAATGTTGGGTTGCGGAAGATTTTGAGTTGAGGAGCAGGGGTTGCCTATGGTAAGTGGCCACCCCTGCAGACCGGACAGGACCGGTTCGGGTGCGAAGTGGAAGCACACATCCAATTCTAGCAGTTGCAGTTACTGCATCGCATGGCACGGCGTAGACAGAGATGTCACAGGCTACATGGCTCCTACATGCTAAGATAACAGAGGCACACTGACCACAGTTGTATAGGGGCATTGCCATTCTAGCCCCTGTTTACAAATAGGACATGCCATGTCAGGGTGTCACACATTAGCATGATATTAATGACTGTCGTGAGACGTATGAAAACAAAGACTTGCATGGGCGATACCTTTATAATCCTCACGGCACAAAGCATGCTCATCACAGGCTAGCCGAATCTCAGGTGGGCCATCACAGTGCGACATTGAGCAAAGCCTCTTGGGCTTCTGCAGCCGATTTTCCCTGTGTATGGGTAGGCGGTGACGGGGCCTGATCCAAAGTACGGGTGTTTAGCTGTTGGAAGATCTGGTCTGCAACAGCTCGCCCTGGTGGCGGTAACCTTTCAGTACAGTGCACTGATGGTGGTTCACGTGAGAGTCTACTCTCCACCTAAGGCAGCTGCGTCCATTGCTGATCTGGCAAGGATTGAGGAGATCCAAGTATGGGTGCAGCGGGGGATTGCCAGCATTGCATGTGGGACATGAATGGAGAGGATATGGCAGGTGATGGCATCGGGGATTGTTGACACAGTAGAGACACATACTTTTCATGACATCTTCCTGGAAACATTGACGAGACATGGCATGTTGCTGACATGCTGGCAGGAAAGCAGGCATGCGTTTGCAATTATTCAAGAATCGCATGTGAAGGCCACAATTGGCATATCGGGCAAGTAATCAGGGTGGGGGGATGAGTGCAAGACAATGGGGCACATCTTTTGTGGCAGAGGATGGGAGTGACCATCCCTTCATATTGTTCGGCACAGACATTGTGTTTTTGCATGCATGCCAACCGAACTGTGCCTGTGTGGAGACAATATGGCATGCCGAACTGTGCCTGTGTGGAGACGATATGGCATGGCGCAGCCACCACCCTCTGAAGGGGACCGCTCACTATCCGCGCCAGAATGCATCTGATCTACACAGGCAAGGGACACTGCCTGACCACATTCAGGGATGGGGGAGGGTCGGCCGGATTGTCTTCTGGAGGCTGTAGAGCTTGCGAGTGGACATACACATACTGTTCCTCTGTGTGTGTGTGTGCTTTGGACCGCTGCACTTGTTCGCCCACATACTTTGTGGCACACCAGCTCCAGGCATACACAGTTACCCCTTAGAAGTCCCAGTTCCAGTTCCAAGTTCCAGGACCCACATTCATTTGGTCCATTGGCTATGCAGGAGATATCTCCTGTAGGACATGAAAGGATTTCGCGTGCCTTAAAAGTCCCAGCTCAAGTTCTAAGTTCCAGGGCTCCATGTAACACAGTCCCAACTGGTTGGAGTCCTAGGCCCGTTGTACAGTAGCGGATAGGCCCGGTTGGTCTGTCGAAAGTAGGCCGGTAGGGTAGCATTCCGGTAGTAGGTCCGGTTCATTATTTGTCCATAGGTGTCAGTCTGTCGGTCCAAAAAGCAGCTCATGCAAGCGTCGAAAACAGACCGCGGCCAGCGGGAAAGGGTACTGGCCCAAGAAGAGCCAATGGGGAACTGTAGCATGGACATAAGGCCGGCATCAGCAGAATGTCGAGAGAGAGAGAGAGAGAGAGAGAGAGAGAGAGAGAGAGAGAGAGAGAGAGAGAGAGAGAGAGAGAGAGAGAGAGAGAGAGAGAGAGTAGCAAAAACCACAAGTGTGTGCACATGAGGCTTATTGAGACTCGAACTGAGCAATCTCCAAATGTTCTCATTTTTTGTCAGTGTGCTCTCTTGTGTGCAAGGTTGGATATTATGGAAAGCGAGTCACGAGTTTGAAGCTGTATGTGAGGTGAGGGATCATTGCATTAAGATAGGCTGACAGGACTGTTCCAAAAGTGGCTGGGTCCTTCCCTTCTCGGACCTTCACTTAGGGCCCTGTTGCCACGCCTGGGAAGCCCTTGCAGCCTCACATTGTCTTCATTTCACAGCATATTAGAGCATAACATTCTGGAATCATGCAAGAGAGGTACATCATGCAAGAGAAGGGATGAACAGTGGTAATCCTAAGGAAAGACGGACATTAAAGACACTTGAGAGGAATCTTGGGATGACAGGTGAATCCAGTAGAATTGACTGCATGAGGGTGGGATTAAAGCCCATGGATTTGATTGATAGGAGTCCTTGACCATGTATAATAAGTTGAAAGGAACTTGATGATTATTGACATATGTTTGGGTCAGGCCATAGCCTATAAGTATCGAGCACTCATTTCTGAGGGAATAGCACATAAGGTAGTATAGGCAGATGATGGGGAGTGACGACCATTGACATATGTTTGGGTCAGGGCATAGCCTATAAGTTTGGAGCACTCATTGTTGAGGAAATAGCAGAAGTAGTATAGGGCCTATAGGCATATGATAGGGAGTTCCCCACCATACCTGAAAAATTAACACGGACTCCATATCGTTGACCTTTTGTGCGTAGGTGACGCCATTCTGGACAACCTGCCGACAGCGATCTTTGTGGCCGACTTCGAAGTACAGGTCTGCCATCTTTCTCTGGCATTGCATCCACAGAAGAGTTGCTGCTTGCTGCCAATTGATGTCATTTGTGCCACAGACTTTGCTAGTCATCTCGACTTTCGTGATGCTTTCCGTCGAGGCCAGCCCTGTGATTGCCTCTTTCAATTTTGTCAGGGCTTCGAGGACCTTCCCTTCTCTTCTGTCTATCTCACTCAAGGCAATTTGCGCACGGCAGGTAATGTCTGGCCCGCGTCCAGGTAAGCTCTCCTCTGGAACTACTGGTTCCTGTGAATTGGCCGCCACTGCTCGTTCTGCTCGTCTAGGAGACTTCATCTCTCCAGGCGCAGGTGTTGTTTTCGCAACCCCAGTAAGCTCCATCAAGATCTGGCGAGCAGCGATGAAGCATGTCCCTTCTACGGATGCATCACCTTGCTGCTGAGGGTTACTCCGTCTCGCTAAATCCTTGCTTACGCTCGCCCCCTTCTTGCCCGTCTGACCTCCTCCTTCATTACTCTTAGCAACTGTTTCTGGTCTCCCACCTGTCTTCTCCTCGCGAGGATTCCCAGGCGTGCTAGATTTCTGGTCCCCCCTCACAACCGCCATTGCCGCAGCAAAACTTCCAAGCTTGATAAGAATTTCAGCATGCAGCATCTGCAACTCACTGGTAAGATACTGGCCATAGCCTCTATAGACTGCAGGTGCTAACTCTGACAAGTGCATTGCGCAAATGTCTGCGACTATAGCCTGGTTGAGTGGGTCATCCAGCCGACGGTTGTTGTGAAACAGAGGCTTACCAGAGGCAAGAACGGATGCATGATTGTCTGTTGTTGGACTTTGAGGAGTTTGCTCCTTGCGTCCTGTGGAGGAGGGCGGTCTTTGACCAGAAAAAGGGCTTTTGGCCCGCGTTTTCGGCCTACTTTTGGAGGCTGGTGTGGGGCTCTGTCCCTTCTCCTTTCCGCCTCCTTTCGTGAAGCTCCGACCTGACCGCTCTACGGAAGTTATCGCCGGATTCCCTGAATCTTCCATGCTAAGTGGAGGTCCCACACTTCCAAGGGATTCTCTTGGAAGGTTCTGACCATCTTTGAGGTCCATCAGCAGTTCAATGGCCTCTGCAATCCTCCCCAAGCCAATCAGGGCTCTTCCGCGCAGAATCCGACTCTGAACTGCAGCTCTGATGTCCCGCAGCCTGAAACAAGCTATGTAATCGTAAAGTGACAAGATGGGGAGACTCCTCAGCAATTCCCCAGTTTGTACAAGGTTGAGGCTCAACACATGAAGAGAAGAGCAAAGGTCCATCACACTGCACCTGTAGCAGTCGCCAAACAGGTCAACGCCATGCCAGACCTCGTGGGAAGTGTAGCTCACAAAGTCAAGTGCCCGCTGCGGGTGTCCCAAGTTGGATGTGTAGCAGGCGGACACCAAGGAGGCAGCAAGCAAACTAGCCTCGCGTTGCCTGTGCATGTCAGAGACATAGCAGAACCTGACGAGCTTTCCAAGCGCAAGCGTAGCAAGAAGGCATCGCCATGCCCCTCCGCATATCTGCAATGTCTCTGTGGGTGAATTTCCAACCTGGCCTCGCCATTTATGCAAAGCATTGTATATCCCTGTTGAAGCGTCCACACAATCAAGCCAAAATGATTTCGCTTGGTCATAATCACCTAGTTTGGCAGAGACGTCGGCTAGCTCATTCTGTGCCTGAGCAAAGAGTCCTGTCTCTTTCCATCCCTCCAACTGTCGAGCCGCACTTTTATATGCACTCGTAAAGTGTGGCAGGGTTGCGAAACCCGGTAGACTCCGCCGCACACCCAGTAGCCTCAACAAGGAGGATCCCGAACCGTGCCTAGTCGACCTGCGAGAACCTCGGCCTTTGGCACCACTGAACTTCCTTGCGAGAATTTCCCAGGAATTTCGACGGGAAGCGCGTACGCCCCTGGCTTCTCGCCGGGATTTCAGAAGCAACCATGCCCACAGTCCTCGCGCATCCTCTAATGCACGAATTGCTGGGTTCTTTTCGTGCTTGATTCTATAAAGCTCTGTTTCAATGAAGTTTTTGTCAAAACCATGTGCATCTAAGGAAAGTGGGTGCTCCCCTGCTAGATCCAACAGGATAAACAGTGCCTTGTCTGCAAAAGCATTGTCCGTCACTGCATTCAGAGATCGGCATATGCTCGACGCACCAAAATAAGCGCCATTATGCCGGCACAGTTCCATCACAAAGAGGCAGAACCTGTTCATTGACAGCTAATTGCAAGTGTCACCAACAGAAGAAATCACATTTTCATTTTTGTGTCAGAGTGCAGCCATTTCGCAACGTATGACTTCCCCATTGCCTTCAATCTTTGATGCCCCCTGACCACTGCTTCATCCTTCATATCTCTTTCGTCTGCCTCTTCCTTTTCCTCCCTACCACTGGACAATCTTCCCTGTCGCCGCTTTGACTACTCTTCCGGTAAATAGTTTGAAAACTTTGAACGCTACTCAATGCAATCTATGAATCAAAATTATGTATGTTCGATGGGAGAAATGAGTGTATCTCAAGCGTCAAATTTCATCAAAAGAAAAGGTACTCGAAAACAACACTCCATCACTTGTTTTCGAAGTGATCACTGATCACTTTGCGCATTTTCATAAACCCAAGACTTATGTTTTACGAGAGCAACACAGGCTTTTAGAGTCTGAACAAAGAAGAAAACAAAATCAGAATGCGTGAATTCGTTCCATTTCTAATCTATCTTGAAAGGCTTGAATGCAATACAAGCAAACCTATAGTACTATGGTGGAGAGTTATTGGGCGTGCAACCCCTCTTGATTGCCCTCGGCAGGGTTGTCAGCCCCCGGCACCAGACCCTCGGCAGGGGTCCAGGGGCGCCGGGGGTGGGACCCCCAACCTCGGGGGGAAGGGGGTCGAAATTGAAGGAAGAAGGGGAAAAAAAAAACATGGGCAGGTGCACAGCAGCACCGCACTTCTGGGGTGCCTGGGGGTCTGGCGGGGATGGGGTTGCTCCGGGGGCAGGGGCTGCCGGTGCGCAGAACTGGTGTTGCGTGGGGGCGGGGATGCAGGGGTAGGGGTGCAGGGGCTCGGG